TGTTCGAATAGGAATCGGTGAAAAGAGTCGAATAAGAAGAGCGATAGTTGATAAGAATGCAAGGATTGGTAAAAACGTTATGGTAACTACATGTGATTTGAACTCAGCTCCAAAACTATCTTCATATTCAAATCTAGTCTTAAGTATAACAACTATGCAAAACATGACTAAGGTAAATTATTCGATTTCTATGGTTTAAAATTTCTTGAAAATGAATATGATTCACAGATTATCAACAGAGACAATGTTGAAGAAGGAAACAGAGAAGCTGATGGATACGTTATAAGAGAAGGAATCATTGTCATACTTCGAAACGCAGTCATCCCAAATGACTCCATCTTGTGAACATTTTTTTTTCTATTTTATAAAATTCATCATTTTTTTTTATGTAAGAAAATAAATATATCTAAATGTAATATATTGCAGTATTATATGATTAACGTTTGATACTTACAAGATGCTCAAGTATCTCAGCAACTTCAATGGCACCATAACAGACAGATTCAGCCAAAGCTTTCCACACAGAAGATTCCGGAACCATATCCTGACTAACCATTTCTTCCAACCACATCACAGCTTCGTATCGCCGGTCCATACCACAAAGACCTTTTATCATCACATTGTAAGTCTCAACACCAGGAAAAAATGATTTTATCAACATTTCCTCCATGACCTGGCTCGCTTCAAGAAATTCACCATCTCGACGTAAACCATCCACTAGCGTTTCATATGTTTCTTCATTAGCTACACAAGAGACTTGCTTAGACATCTTTTTAAGATATCCAACAGCTTCCATTGATTTTCCTTCATCACATAGGCCTTTTATAAGAATGTTATACAGTCCAACTGTTGGAAGGCAATGACCTTTCCTCATCTCTGTATTGATAACAGAAACCGCTTCTTCCAGCTTCCTGGCTTTACACAGTGCTTTAACTTTGGCACTGTAAATAAATGGTGTTGGCTCAAAGCCTTTTCTTCGCATCGCAAGAAGCACTTCTTCACCTTCAACAAGCTTACCTTCCTCAAAAAGATCAGTAGCCATGGCACTATAGCTATCCAAACTGGGAATTGCGCCTCGAATCAAAGTCTCTGTTAACAAACGTTTCACTCGCTCTATACCTTCACTGTGACCCTCCCAGTGACCAGCTTCGATATGATGGTAACATCGTTTCGGCGCCTTTAGTCCTTTTCTTAAGATTTTACCAAGAATTTCAATAGCCTCATCAACCTCCCCTGCATCACATAACGCATCCAACAGAATTCTGTAAACCACAATGTCCTCACCTGCACCTTTCTGTGAGATCCTCCAGAACATCGAATACAACAAATGCGTGGCTTCATGAAGTTTCCCCTCTAGACAAAACCCTTTCATCAAAATCCTGTAACTATCTCTATCGGGATAACAACCCTGGTAATTCATCTCTTGAAATACATGAGAAGCCAGATCAGACCGATTGACTTGGCAAAGAACCTTCATAAGCAAATTCAGAGCCGTTATTCGAGAATTCACCTCCCACCCATAACAATACTTTCGGAATATGTGACAAGCAGCTTCGAGCTCCGATTCTTTAACCATCTCCTGTAATAGAGTATCGAACGATAGAGTCCAATTCACACAGTTGAACTCATGAAGGCTCTTGAAAAGAGATATGGCATCATCTAGCCTTCCAGCTCTAGAGAATGTATGTATGGCAGATGCGAAAACCGTATCTTTACATTCACAAGAATCTTCCTTCATTTTCTCTATAACATATTTCATCTCAAATACACGATTGGATTTACCAAGAATACCAATCATGGTGGCATATACCGAACCATTGTGACCGTAACTCGGAAACCTCTCTTTTGCTTCCTCAAATAGTTTAAGTGCTGTTACTGGATTCTTTTGCTTCTTTAGGATTTGAGAAAGAAGACTTGGTGTTAGAACTCTTGGCCATCTAACACTCATAATCATTCCTTCAATCAGAAACTCTTCAGGACTCAAAACTCCATTCAAACATCAAAGGAATCAGATTTCCTTCACAAGCACCTCATAAAGATTGACATTTTTGGCAAATTTGGAAAACCCTAGACAACAAAATCCAGGATCAATCAAGCTGAATTAGAAAGATTTCGCCTTTAACCCAATGAATTAGCCATAGAAAGTAATGAAACAATCACCGTGACTATATACAGGAAAGAACAATGAACACATTATATAAAAGTCAAAACTTGAGAATTCAGGAATCGAAAGATAGCTTGAAAGTGTTACCTGGGAAGATTTCAGTATCGGCTACTTCGTTAATTTCACCATGTTTGTTAGTATTTGAGTATTTTAGGGTTCTTGTTGGAGTGCAGAGACAGACTCTGAAAGAGAAGATAAAG